ATGTAGTACCAACATTGAGTGAATTGGAACTTTTCAACACCTGCTCGGACATTCCTCTCAACGTCCAACAGCACACGATGGCGAGAATGTCAGCCAGGATCCTTCGGATAGGCGATGAGGTAAAAATCACACACGGAGATTCAAGGGGGCTTCTTGGAACAATTATTGATGTAACGGAAGGCGAAGCCGTCGTCTTTTTGACAATGAAGGATGTAACAACTACCTTACCTTTTTCGTCGCTTCGAAAAGATCTCAAAGTAGGGGATGAAGTCCGCATTCTTTCGGGAGACCACGAAGGTGTTACAGGTTGGGTAGTGAATCAAAATGATGACTGCGTGTGCGTCTTTGATGACAGGACCGGTACTGAGGTGAATATCTGGCTCTTCTAACATTCCGTCATCTTGTAGATAGAGGCATCCCCTGGGATTGTTCAGTTCTTCACCTCCCCCTTCATCTTTGGAACGGGGTCCTCGGACTTGAAAGCTTCCTTCACAGATGCGCAAAAGCGTGTCATGAAGGGGGACTCCAATAGTCACCTGGTAGGAAGACATGTGATGGTCACCCACGGGAATTTTAGAGGTTACCGAGGCAGAGTAAAAAGCACAATTGGTGAGAAAAGGGTCTTCGTCGAGCTTGAGGCGCTCCTCCAACGCCCACAAATTTTGGACATATTCTTGATCTTATTGCAAGACTTTGAGGCTTGAGATGACTGAACGAACGAACTTGAACACTCACAATTTATGACTGGCTTAGTCAGCTCCAGCTGGCTTCTTAGCCGGAGCTGGAACTAGCCGAGCTGTGGGAGCCATCACTTGGCGGTTCTGGCTGGGCTTCGGCTAAACTCGGCTCGGCTCCTGACTTGAGCTGGCTCTGAGCCGGAGCCGCGGCAACACTAGACTGGACCAAGACTGCAAAAGACCAGACCTGCAGTCTTGGTCTTGCAGATTTGAGATTACAAGACTGCAAAAAGACCAGTCTTTTGTACCTACATAATAACCCTTCAAAACGCACCTAAGATCATATTTTTAGGCCAAAAACTGACAAAGATACATATAAAATAGTAAAATATTTCGTGAAAATAGTAGATGTACCTTAGTATTTTTGTAGATACATCAATTCTCAACGGAATTTAACGTTCTTGCACTCGTTTAGAGGCTACGAAGAATCTCAATAAACGTACCGACTCACAATTGCAAATATTATTGCATATTTAGTTGAAAAACCGGTCTTGAACCGGTTGTAACCAGTTTGGACCAAGACTGGTCCAAAGACTGAAAAAGACCGCAGTCTTGGTCTTTTCCGGTCCTGGTCCAATCTTTTGAGGTTTTAGAAATTGTGTGGACCAGTCTAGGTCTTGGTCTTTTCATTTTGGGCCAAAAAACTGGACTGGACTGGACTTTCAAGCACTATTGTTGTCGTCATTGTTCATATGTGTAGTCATTGTCATTTGTCGGCTATGTCATTGTTCATATGTGTAGTCCTTGTCGTTTGTCGGCTATGTCATCGTCAATATATGCCATTGGTCATCATTCGTCCACGTATCATTGTTGTCATGGTTCATTTGTGTAGTCATTGTCATTCATCAGTTATTTGTTACCATGCCACTGACAGTGATGTGGCCTCTGGTTCTCATGTCAAAACAGGAGAGGCAGAGGGGAGTCCTATTGCTCACCTGGATCGATGCAGACAGTGATGACAACATGGGTCGTCACAGTCTGGACAATGTGGCACATCCGTTGATGTGCCAGGTCATCATCTGTTCATATGTTGTTGTTGTTCATCCATGTATCATCGTTTTTCGTCTATGTGTTGTCATTTGTCAGTTGTGGGTTGCCACATCTCCATTTTTGACATGGCTGCTGCTTCTCATGTAAGAAAAGAAGAGGGGGAGGGGAGGTAAGCTACTCACCTCAACTAACATGAACAGCGACAATGACATGCGTTATCGCTGTCTGGACGATGTGGCATGTCCATTGACCCAGGTCGTTGCCATCCATCATTGCGCCTAGTGTTTGAAAGTCCAGTTAGGCTAGGTTATTGGGTGCCCAGGGACTCTAACCGAGACTGAGACTGGTTAGCCTTCATTCCCAAACCCACAATAACCTAACTGGACCAAAAATAACTGACCAAAACCAGTTAGTTAGTTGCAGTTATTAACCAGTTAGGACCGAAAAAATAAAGACTTGTTTAAATTTGGGTAAAACCATCCATATATGTCTCAGTCAATGTTATTGTGGTATATATTAGCTTTAAAACGAACCCAAGAACACTTAATTTGATGAGGAATTGACATATTTATAAAAATATTCTTGAAAGTCTATGCCAATATTTTCGATATTTGACAATAACTCAGTCAAATTTTGAGTGTTTTTCATGTTCTTAGGTGCGTTTTGAAGGGGTATATCAGGTCCGGTTACAACCGGTTATAACCAGTTTTTTAATGGTTAGTTAACCGCAAAATAACCGGTTATCTTCTTTTTGAAATGGACTAACCCTAACTGCAGTTTTAGGTTAATTTTGTGGTTAGGTCCAGTCCAGTTTTGGTTATTTTCCAGTTAACTAACCTAACTTCCAAACACTAGTCATGCCATGTCATTGCCATCTGTCATTGTACCAGGTCATCACTATCTGTCGTTGTGCCAGGTCGTCGCCATCCAATTGCCATCCCTCATTGTTGTTCATCTGTTGGGCTGGTGACGTGACATTGCCAAGTTGTTGTTGTTGTTGTTGGGGTGCTTGGTGGTGGTTGAATGATGATTGCAGGAGGTGGTGATTGGTGGTGGCAATGGTGACGAATTGGAGTTGCAGTGATGGTGGTGTGCTGGTGGTTGAGAGGGAAATTGTTTGTTTGTTTGTCGATTTGTTGATGAACACATTTGCATTGGTTCTTGATTGGTTCTCATCAAAAATATAAGAGGTAAATATATTCTAAGTTTGGCCTCAAGACTCAAAGCTCGAAAGACCAGTCTTTTGACCTGTTAATCTGGTTTTTGCATGGTCTTGACATATTGGAATCCATAGAGGACTGTAGACCAAACCACGGTTATGGTCTTTGTCGGTCCTGATAATTTGCAGTCTTGAATTGGTCACAGTCCTGTTGAAGTTCACATATGAAAAGCATTGTGTAAGTAATAAGAATGAGTTATTGGAATCGATTGGTAACTTTGCAGTTTAACACGTGAATGATCCTTTATTCAATTAATGTTCAGGGCTCCTGAAAATGTTTGAATACCTTTCACTTAATAGAATAGCTTATTCGATTAGAAGCTATTCTATTAAGCAAAGAAGATGAGAAGTATTTATACAATCTGTACAAATATTTCTCAGAGGTTCAAACACACATAAGTTGTGAAGTTTAAAAATTTATAGATTGTGGAAGTCGGAGAAGTATATCATGTATTCCTACAAATTATATACTCTTCCATTACTACTAGAACCTTCTTCAAGGTTCTGTCCTTTTTCTGATGACTCATGTTCCAATGACTCACGTGTTCACATGTCTTCAACCAGATCACATTGTCATGACTCAGATTGTGTCTATATTCCTTTCTGATATGTGCTACGATAATGTCAGAACGGGAGGTGAAGGGTCATTTAGATTCGAGGTGAGTCTCTGAGCTATTTGTTTGGAGTATGTTTGTTTGGACTTGGAGGTTTAGCTATGCAAACAAATATCCTTCAGTTAAAAAACAAATATAAACTTCAGCATCATGTCCAACACGCTTTGCTTTCTTTTATACTACAGACTTGTTAACTAGAGGGTAACTACTTAAGTAGAATAGGTATTGTACTATAACAGGTCTGGTCTGGTCACAGTCTTTTTCCAGTCCTGTGACCAGACTTCCAAAACACTATATAATATGCACATTTTGGAGAAGGATAACATCATCAAAAATGCAAAACCTTCATGTACATAACCCTTTTCTATATGTACATAACCCCTCTTCATTGTATGGGTCAGGAAAAGTGAGCTGATTTTAGAAGCCAACTCATTGCTTTTCCAACACTGCTGTAATGTTTTGCTGTATGGCAACCAAAGTACCCCTCTTTCAATCTTTTGACTGTCTTCTGGGGACAAGAAAGCTGTAGTGGTGGCAGCCTCCTCAAACACCCAAGTCAGAACATCCAAATGTAATATTTCCAGAAGGCCAACTCAATATACCCGTATTTGTCACCCTTTTATTAATGGTATTGAAAAGGGCAGAAAGGCTTCCCCAGCATGAAGCTGACTGGGTAAGTGGTGCTATTGTTGGTGCTATTCCTGATCTGGGCAACTTTGAAAAACAAATAAAGTAAAATAGACCCTGTGAGGATCAGTGCAGAGGTGGGTTGTGGCAAAGGTGGGTTGTGGCAAAGGTGGGTTGTGGCAAAGGTGGGTTGTGGCAAAGGTAACGAGTTGGGAACAATGCTGGAGGTCAGATATGGAGAATGTGAGAGGCAGGGTGTAAGGTACTATGGATCTTCACTCGCCTACTCCTTCACCTCCATCGCAGACCTACTCAGTGCTTTCCCCTTACACCTCATTCTTTGAACTCTATCCTCTTAGTCATTAGTTCTCACGCTGTATATACTTGCCACGTAGCTTCTAGTTGAATATCCACCTTTTATCCACCATCATCTACCTACTATCATGTTCCGAGCTACTGTACTAACGGACCTCAAAACTCTGATCTAGGTGATTAGTGTGTGTGTAGAGCTTACGGCCTCCTCTGAAAGGTTGACTTGACGAGGATGGATAGTACCGAGTCCACGGTTGACGTCGACTTCGATACGTATCCTAGACCAACAGCTCTACGCGTGTGGGTCATCACACCATTGCTCGTCAGACTTTCAGGTTGCACGACGATTGACACAGTTCAACCCTCACAAAGGTGGACACTGTGGGATCTCGTTGACCAAACTGGCGAGTATAGTTTCTCCTAACTATTTTTCAGTACTAAAAAACGAATCCCCTTTATATTCCCCTACCACGTCACACTCTTCCCCTGACACCCACTACGATGTGGTTCAACATGAGGAATCCAACGAATTTCATTCTTTCGCGGATTCCAGTATGTTTGGCAAACAGCCTCGAGGCACCTCGTCTCGATCGTCAGCCTCATCTACAGGCCTCACACATCGACTAAACATAGTTGATGGAAGCAAGCCCCCCCCGGATTACACAAGCCCATCTCCCAAACCGTTTCCTCGGCCATGGTCGCTATGAGTCCTGTAAACGTGGAAGGCTCGTTAACCACGCCTAAGGAAGATCCGTCGGAAAACTTTTCTAAAACGGAAGGAAAGAGAAGAAGTCGGAAGGAGACCCAATTCGATAGCTTAAGTTCTCTTCCTGCCGTGAACATTTCAGAAATTCATCGCCCCACCCCTGGAGTCTTATCCAACGCTCTCATCATCCCATCAACTCGACTCATCTCTTGCAGCAGACACCGCGTTCGAGATCGATATCACCACCAATTCTCAGGAAACTGAGAGTACGCCTCGCCCTTCTCTACCCATGCGTCAAGGAATGGAGAATGGTTACTCTCTTTCTCCTGTGTATAGTTTGTGGCTGGAATATTGTAGCGAGGGAGAGTCCTCGAAATCCACTCAATCTCAAGTAGTATTTTACGCTACTAAACCCTCGTTAGCTCGGGACGAAGTTGTAGACAGAGGGAAGGATACATCTACGGAACGTTATATGGTACACAAGCCTTTGCTCGAGCAGATCTGCCTGACCGTGAATGAGCTACAAGTGTTCATTCAACATATGGCGGGTCTCATAGAAGAACGGGACAAATTCTTCCAAGTTGATCCAGAAGACACTCTGCTGAAAGTCTTAGGAGGTGCGGAGACTACAAGTCAATTACACGCAGCCTGGCTCTGCTTAACTAGTCGACTAAGTGCAGCCCAAAAGTTCATGTTCAAATACCAACAGGAATATCAAAACATACCCGTACCACCTTCACCCGTCTCCACAAATCCAGACATTCACAGGTACATTGCCAGTCTGCCTGACATCGATGACAAATTGCGTCATATTCATGGCACTATCCCTTGTCATGTCAACAAACTTCCACGTAACACTCATCAGCGGCTAATGGAGACAAAAGAGAAATGGGAGGCAATTATCCCTATCCCTCCATGGCTAGCGACCCCTACTCAGAAATCCTCGTCCCCTATTTCGGATATTTCAGCCAGGACAAGTTATAAAGCCGCATCCACGTTCACGTTACCTGATAGAGTCGAACAGTCGACGATGGCTACCGTCCAGAAGAAACAATCTTCTACACCCTGGAAAGGATCGAAAGGAGTCCAATTCGCTTCCCAAGCTAACATTTTAGAACCTTCTCAGTCCTCAGCTCTAATGAGCAGCGGGACGCCATTCAAACCATCCAAGGGACTTTTCTTACAAGAGGATGGAAACAACCCTGGGCCTTTCCCCCAATCTGGGCCCAACTGTTCAGTTTCAGCAGACAATTTTCTCTACGGAACGGACGAAATCCCAGTTTTTTCTCTGGATGGCATACAGTTCTCTGGGTTTAATTATCCTTTGAATGCGAATGCCACCCCTTCTGGTCCTTCGACCCAGCCCGTTACCTCAACCCCTTGGAATCCAAACTCAGGACAGACGCAATCCTTTCACTCCATGTTCTCCCAGGGTCGAGAGGGAACTCTTACAGCACAGGGTGAAAATTTACAAGCAACGACACAAGTCAATACTTCACGTGTAGTGACAGGGAACGCAGCCAACGTCCAACAATCCGAAAGAGTGAATCAAAACCAGGAAGATACAAATCCTACACACGATTGCAGCTCTAACTGCGGGCAACAGGGTTTCCCTGGAGGAGATGACTCAGATCCGCCAGATGATGATGACGACCCTCCTAAAAACCAGGGGAACAACAACACCTCAAGGAAGGACGACCGCCAAGTATCCCATCATCGAACAGGATTCAGAGGAGGTAGAGGAGGTGGACCACCCAGCCCCCCTTCGTCATCCTCAAGTTCTTCCAGAACTAAGAGTCATACATCTACATGATTGAATGGTAACGAAAATCGTCCCCCAGCTCCATACGGGGATTTCATTCCGACAGTGAGGACGGACATCAAGTTGGATCAGTTACCCACCTGGGACGGCAATCACACTACAGCGATCAATTATTTCTGGAAGATTCAACAGTTAGCAGCTATGAAGGGTTACCTACCACAAGCTCTAGGATACTGGTTATGGATGAACTTAAAGGAAGACTCCACAGTTCGTATGTGGTTCGCCATGTGCTCGGCCGAACAACAAGAGTACATGAGATCGCATTATGTCGCTTATATGAGAGGCCTCAAGGAAGGTTACCTAGGACATATTTGGCAGATGAAAATGAACGCCGCATATGAAAACCAATCTTTCTGACAAGCGGGGCACGAGAATGAAGATTCAGGAAAGTTCATCATTTGGCATATCATGTACACATGGATGCTCGTAAACGGAGACATGGGGGGCCCCTTAGAAGTGTTCCTAGTAATGCAAAGGGCTCCAATATCATGGGGACCTGTAATCAATATAGACAGTATTCGATCGTCAAGTATGTTATTCTCCAAAGTGACAGAGCATTCGCAAGCACTCGTACATGCTACCAAGATGGAGAATTCGCAAATTGTTACTGCAGATAACCTAGCATACATGCTGCGACGCTTAGGCATCTCCTGGCCCTCGGATCGCTCTTCCCCTAGTCCCGCTAGATTTAACAAGCGAGTGAACGTAACAGAGTTGAAAGCTAACACCTCGGAAGACCCCCCTAAATCATCCTCCATTCCCTCCCCTATTGATGATGGGATCTTGAAGGAAGTCTACCAGGTTCTCCTGAAGAAACAGCGCCCTCCGCCACAAGGGGGTTACCCATTCAAAAGGAATGACCATGTGAGCACTAAGATGGGTTGGCTACCTCCATCCCCGTGCAAGGTTTGCGGTAGTCCGAACCACTGGGACAAAGAGTGCCCAGATTGGAATGTGTATCTAGAAACAAGGAATCGTTCAGCCCACTTCACGGGAGGACAATCAGAAGACGAACCAGAACTTGAAGAGAAATACTGTGCCGCATATGCGATCCTCCTCAACAACAGAGTCGCAGAACAGCTACTCAAGCTCCAGGAATCAAGCCCCTTCACAGAAGATCAGGATTTTGACCAGGCAGCTGTGATGTCACTGGTTCGACAATTGAACTACCACTCTCACGGACATAAGACCTACGAACGAAGGAGAGCGTCAGTGGAAGAGACTTTGGACGTAGACATGGAGTTAGCAAAGTCGAAACAGAAGCTGGACAATGGTACTCACATCCTGGAACACGTTTCAGAATCGTTAGATACCCCACCAGCTGCTAGCCGACCTTCACGACCACCGTCCGTTGTTGAAGTAGAGGACAAAGATAATGCGACTGCTCGTTCCAAGCCCAAGTCAGTTGACCCTCAACATATTCTGGAGGTAGTTGATGACTCCAAGAGCGCTGAACCTCCACCCATTTTATGCGACTCTTTCTCTTTCGAGAATTCAAATGCTGCGTACAACATGCACGGACTGAACGATGACAATCAGCAACAAGAGGACACACCAAATCCGGACAAGACTTTCACTCTACCCTTTCTCAACATTCCAGGCCCACCTGCCCCTCTGGCTAGAGTGCGCTTGCCTAAAGCAAGGATCACTAAACCAGGCGCTTCAGCAGTCGGTGTTTCAGTCTTGTCTACCAGAGGACGATTAGCAGCTACACACAATAAGGAAATTGACCTTCAGTTGGATTCTTGTGCAGACATTACGTTGATCTCAGAAGAGTTCTATCTGTCTTTGAAGGATCGCCCACCTCTTCAACAGGGTTATCAAATGCAAATATTTCAGTTAATGGAAACAGGCACTCACATTAAGGGCTTTGTCCGGATCCCAGTTTTCATGCAGGCGACGGACGGAATGACCATCGAAACGGAGGCGGAAGCATACGTGGTCCCCAATATGACGGTTCCAATTTTGTTAGGGGAGGATTTCCACCTGACCTATGAAATCCAAGTATCCAGATCAGTCATGGAAGGTTCATTCCTCAACTTCAGGGGCTCTCCATACACAGTACCGGCGGTGGGCGTGAATAGAACGAACGATTTCGAGTGGCTTCGGAAAAGTGCACACCACATCTCTTCTTTCGTGAAAGCCAAGATGCATAAACAAGCTAAGGCGAAGTGTCAACGAAAGAAGCGTCAAGCGAAGGAGGACGCTCACTTGATCAAAGCCGCTCAAGACTATCACATACGTCCACACGAATCCTGCTGGGTGCAAGTCATAGGCCATTTCAAGGAGGAAAGAGATTGGTTCGTAGAAAAGAACATGCTTTCGTGTGGGAACGACAATGTCCTATTGGTCCCGAACATGCTTATCTCATCTAAAGATCCTTATATTCCAGTGGCCAACCCATCTTCACAACCCCATTTCATACGGAAAGGCGAGGTACTAGCGACTATTTCAAATCCTGCAAAATACTTTGATACCCCGCATGATACAGATCAATGGCACGAAATGTCAAAGAAAGCGGAAGCACTTGCAGCCATTATTGCTGCTACGAGTGAGGAAGATCAGGTTGAAGCAGAGGAATACGGTCCCAAGACAGCTGCCATGCCGGACCCTACGGTCTATCCTTCCAGCCAAATGAAAGACTTAGTGGATGTGGGCTCTTTGCCGGAACATTTACACAACGAAGCTTGGCGCATGCTCTCCTCGCACGAGAAAGCCTTTGGATTTGACAGTAGATTGGGTCAGTACCCTAGTAGAGTCCACATCCGCACAGTGGACGGCCAAGTACCTATATCAGTACTGATGTATGGGAGTTCCCCAGCAAAGCGACAGGTTATCAATCACTGTGTTTTGCACCGAATTGTATTTGACGAGAAACATAAATAAATATCAGACTTTTGGAGAAAGACTACAACAGACTTTCACTACTTATTTTTTTTGGACTTTACACCATTTTTCAAACTTTCCCTGGGCGAAAAGTCCGATCTTTTAACATGTATACCTCATAGAACAATGTGGGTGACATCCAATTCCCTTGGATAACCTTTCATGTTTCCGGACTTGGTTTTCACGAAAAATGTCATCTTTTCATATCTATTCAATTGATCGAAATATCATGCACTCCCAAAGTGATCGAAAAAAAGGGAGAAAAAAGCCCCGGTACTGCTAGTAAAGACCTCCTAGTATCCTCGACAATATCCTCCATGAACCTAGCCTTTGACACCGAGCAGCCAAACCTAACACCAAATGGGCCATTTGGGATGTCGACGCCTGTTCGTGCTCCATCAGTCCACGAGAATCATCATATGCATGGAATGCCACCACTCACCCCCTTTCCCACCAACAGAAACCAGCATGGGATGATGGGAATGTCCCCGACTATGTACTATTCTCCCAGTCAGCAAGAACATGGATTGGCGGGATCATACACACAGGCATTCAAACGAACACGTCTTGATAGTGAAGGCACTGGGCACCCTCATGGTCCTGGAAACCCGAACGGTGGTTTTGGATCCTTGAGGCCTTGTGGAATGATGATCTCGAACACATCCGGGCAGTCAGCAGACCTGAGCCAGATGTAGTGTTTGAAAGTCCAGTTAGGTCCGGTTATTGGGTGCCCAGGGGCTCTAACCGAGACCGAGACCGGTTAGCCTTTGTCCCGAAACCTAAAATAACCTAACCGGACCGCAACTAACCGGTTACGGTCGGTTATTTGCAGTTACTAACCGGTTAGGACCGAAAAATAAAGAATCGGTTATAACAAGGCAAATATGCTCATATGTATTTTGATAGATATTATTTCTGCATATTCTAGCTTTAAAACGAGCCCAAGAACGCTAAAATCGGTGAAGAATTGACATATTTATGCAATTATCCTTGAAAGTCTACACATTTGAGTGATATTTTAGAGATTTGACTGTAACTTAGTCAAATTTTAAGTGTTTTCGACGTTCTCAAGTGCGTTTTGAAGGTGTATAATAGGGCTGGTTATAACCGGTTATTTAACGGTTAGTTAACCGCAAAATAACCGGTTATTCCATTTTCGAAAATCAACTAACCCTAACCGCGGTTAGGTTAGTGTTGCGGTTAGGTCCGGTTATTTTCCGGTTATTTTCCGGTTAACTAACCTAACTTTCAAACACTAGCCAGATGTTGCTTTCATTAGGAGAGAGAGCCGAGAAGGCAGAGACTCAACTTGCTGAACTTGCTGCCAAGCATGCAGCCGATTACCTGTTGCTCGTGAACAAGATTTCTGAGCTTGAAAACAAGGTTGCGTCCCCCATCTTGAGCGGGGCTGGAAGTACAGGGACTAAAACTGCAAAGAAACCTCGTAAGCAACTAGTGTTTGGAAGTCCGGTCTCGTGACTGGGAAAAGACCGTAACCAGACCGGACCAAGACCGCAAAAGACCGGACCTGCGGTTACGGTCTTTTATTTTTGAAATGTAAAGACCGCAAAAAGACCGGTTAACGTGAACCGGTTTTAACCGGTTTGGACCGGTCTTTTGTAGCCCCTTAAATACCCTTTAAAACGCACCCAAGAACGTACGATTTGGTAAAAAAACGAGAGAGATATGAATTAAAATGTAAATTACTTTGGGGAATAATAGATGTACCAGACTTATTTTATAGAAGCACCAATTCCTAACGGAATTTAACGTTCTTGGGCTCGTTTTGAAGCTATTAAAAATGTTAATAGATTTACCGATTCATAATTTTAAAATATTGGCCTAAAGACCGGTCATAAACCAGTTAAAACCGATGCAGACCGAAACCGGTCTATAGACCGCAAAAAACCGCGGTCTGCGGTCTTTTTGCGGTCCGGTCTGGTCTTTTGACTTCTGGGGAAAATGCAGACCGGTTACGGTTACGGTTAACACCCCTGGGCATCAAAAAACCGGACCGAACCGGACTTTCAAACACTATAAGCAACGTGATAGCCCACTTGAGGTGAGGGTTACTTGCCTATTCCATTCTATGTTAATTGATTCCCAATAGAATGCAGTTCAAACCACAATGCGTGCGCTCTTGGGTGTGACTCATACGCGGGTTAATGGAAAGATGGCACTGGAACTTCCTGCACCTCTCGAACCTGGTTTGCCTGTACAGATGTCAGCCGAGGGTCATAAGCTGTGGAATCCTTACTGGCTCAAAGAAACCACAGATGCAGAGGATGCCGAGAATGCGAAATTTATCGACACTGTTGTCTCAACCCTTGTAGCAAATTCAAAAGTAAGCAATGTCGAACTGAATGAAAAACATGGTCTTACCGAAGTTAACAGGCACCGGGCGCTGTAAGCCTCATCCCCGCTGCAAGCCTGGAGCCCCCATACGAAGCTATTTTCAACGCTGTCAAGGGGCACTTTACCTATCTTTGTGGAAAATATCAGCAGACCGTTGATCCCGCAGCTAAGGGAAAGGGAAAGAAAAAAGTTGAGGACAGCCGCCACCGTGGTCAGAAGAAAACCAAGCTTGCCCGCCGAATGGGCCATGTTTCCGAGTTTGAGAAAGAGCATGCCATCTCAGGAATTAGTGATTTTGTGGCCTTCGACTATATGTCCTCCAAAGATGATGGCCCTGGTTTGGTGTCAAAGGAAACATGGGCTCAAAAGGCGGGTCGATATGGTGGTTGCAGAAAGACCATGCTTGAGGTTCCCCGGCTCCAATGGAGGGATGAGAAGGTCTGACTACGCATCTTCTTTGTCTTGAATGAACTAAAACATAACAGGTCAGCCGACTATACTATGCACTGGACAAGATTGCATGGGATGCTGGCGAAACCTCAACACATGGTCGGTTCCACGGCTTCCAAGAGAACACAGATGTCGACAAGCCTAAGTGTCGTGTGCCTCGCTCCATGTTGGATGAAGGCTGGATAGTTGCATCTGGCAACCAAAATATTATTGTAGCTCCAGAGCCAAAGGGCGTCAAGCTCAAAGATATCAAAATTGAGGATAGCGAGCTTGATCAGGAAGACTTGGCTGCGCTGAAGGAATGGAGAGAATGGGACAGTGAACCAAGCCAGATCAACATCGACGATACAAATGTAGGAGAGGTATAGTCTACTATTCATTAATTCTATGCAATGCTTTAGTGACATTGGCGTAAAACAAATGTTGGTGAACTTACCCAAACTCCTAAGGTGGCAATTGCGGAAATGTCGTTAATTTCAACATCATGCGAAGCAATGTGGTTCTTGAGAAATTGCAGCGGAAAGAGGCTTGGTGGTCCTGGCTCACTATTGGTCAAATATTGGCCATTGTGCCACAGCCTTACTCCAAAAGAAGCACTTATACCATCATCAGTAGTCGCTTTCAATGACATGGAAGAAAATACGCACTAGGAACTCCAAATTGTTTGACTCAAATCCATTCGAAGTGGACGAAACCAACGAAAATGTCCTAGAGTAAATGTCAGATCAGGGCCCTGATTGACGTGGATCAAATCCATCAGCTCGCCAACCCAGGTTTCCCCTGCTTCTGAAATGAAAACTTTGACCAAGGAGTTCATCGAGTTCCTCGCACGCTTGGAGGCCAAGTAGCGACATTGATTCACAACAGCATAGTCAAAGAAGAATGCTTCTTTCATCAAGGGTATTGAGTCGGAGGTAGGGTTGGTCACGATCAACGACCGTAGCTTGAGATGCGGAAAAAGAATGGAAACATGTCTTAAAACGGCGGCATAAAGACCGCTGTCCATCTCTCTCCTCTCGAAGCGAGGACTTAGCGAGAAAATTACGCCATCTGAAAAACAAGTGCATAGGTAGTAGACCATGGCTTGGAGGTGCAGCAGACACTTACCATCCTTGTGATGTTCCTCAAGATCACGAGCAAGGGCCTGGACGGTACCTCGATCATCCGCTGTTGCATCAAACATGTGCTGAACTGCTGCTTGAAAGTATTCTGGTTGATCGCTACGTGCAGCTTGAGCAACCTAAAATAATACTGATGGTAGTAATACAGTAATAACCTAGGAATTCTGATGCATACCATATGTGACGTGGCCACAGTACGATGAAACTCTCGAAAGAATGTTGTTTCAAGTTCCCCGCCACCATGATTGTTGGTCTTGTAGCTTTTTAGGACTTTGTTTAGACGTTCGAATAAAAACGTCCAAAATCCATGCATTGGGCCAAAGTCGCGAAGACATTCAGAGGTGTGGGTTGCATAATGATGATTAGGCTTGATTACATCTGGTCCGTAGAGCTAAAAGCACCATGAATTGTTGATAGGTGAGCTAAGGTGTTGAGAAACTCACCACGACAAGCTCCTGGCAGTACTCTCGCAATAGCCCATCAGCCACGTCAATCTGGGCATCACTTATTTCTCGTGCCAGGAAGAGGCGAAGGGCTTGACCTAGCTTGAGAAAGTTAGCAGGATCGTCAGGGTGAAGACATGATGGAAGGTCTTCGTCTTCATCCTGAGAGTCAACATCTTCATCAGGAGGTCGGCGTGAACGCTTCATGGCCGCATGATTTGTAGTACTTGTATTATCTAGGGTTGTAGACAATGTTTGCTCTGGTTGTGAATTTCGTGTGTTGTCCTGTGCTTGCCTCTGTTCAGTCATAGACTTCTTTGCTGCAGCTTTCTGTTTCCTTGTCTCGGCAGCGCGTACCTTCTTGTCGATGTGTGCTTTATTTGCTGTGTCACGTTGCCTTCTCGCAGCTACTGGGTCAGGCATGTAGTCATGCCATATTTGAGGAATCTGTGGAACATGAGTCAGCATTGAACAACTATCTTTTCGAAGAATGCACAGACCGCAATAGGCCCAACTACTACAGCCATCAAAAGCCACTGGTCAGCAGTCAGTGATCCACCAGTGGGGATTCCGACAAGCGATTGTAGCCGTCCAAGGTAAGCCGGCATGCTGAACTAAAAGAACGTAAACATCGGTAATCACTTCACGCTCGCCTAGACCGAAAAACGTACATTACTTAGAATGTTATGTAGAGCCCGAAGTTCTTTAGTTTTGCGTAAAATTTTGCCTTGGACCCAGATATGGTAGAAGTGGGTTTTGACGAGACCTGTGCGAACATCAGCACATGAAAGGTAGATAAATTTCACCAATCAACTAACCAAGTAGGAGGTTATGCATAGGATCAATAACAATCATACGCACAAGATCAAAATAAGGCAGGCGTGCGAACTCGGACCATCGTGCAGCATATTGCTTAACGAAATCTTCACGAGCACTTGCAGATTTGAGGTGGGCATACTTTTCACCAGCCTTGCGGTGCTCGGCATCAGTGCGCGTTCGAAACCCTTGATAATCAAAATTAATAACTGAAGCCACACACAAAAAAATACATACCATTCTTTTGAAATGATGCAGAGGAAGCCTTGTCAGCCTGTTTGATCCAGCATCGAGTGCAAAACATTGTATGTGAGTGTGAACCAAATCCACCCATTTTATGAGCTGCAGGCTTATCACAACAAATCCAGATAAGTATAACGCGTATCAAACGTCCCTCGGGACAAGATGGTGTTGGTAGACGGACACCATGACGCCACAAGCAGAGGAGCTCATTGACGATGATACGCAGAAACCGTTGGCATTGATCAGGGTTACCTTCCTTTGGTCCAGGCATTATGCCACCGAGGAGCAAGTTTGCCGTGCGATACCTAGTTACTCTTCAATACTGAAAAAAATCTTTACATTGTGCTTAACCTACCGCAAATGATCACGGAGATTAGCAATGTTGAAAGAAATGGGACCTGACGTATGCGAAGGCGCAATTTGACTTCGAAGATAAGAAAACCTGCAGTGCAAGATGTGAGAATAAAAAAGAATAGATAACCGTATCACATACCAGTCCACACCAAGCGTGAGTGCAATTCGAAGCTCTCCTTCGGGACCATTTAAATCCCCATGGTCGTTGCGAAAGAAACGAGTGCCGTCATGAGCCTTGATGTTCTTGGGGATATCACCATCAAACACATCGAAATACTTTCCCGGCGTGCGTTGACGTTTGCGCCAGCCATCGAGCTCCTCTTCAATTCCTGGAAGTGAAAGGATACTAGCTAGCTGGGATTGTATACTCTTGTATGGAAAGCGCAGAAGAGGTGTACGTGTGGTTGAAACTGGCGCCTGAGAATTCATAGCCAAGCGAGGATTAGCAGCCTTGAAAATAAATGAACTGCAATTGGCACAGATGGTTGGGGTGTCCTCCATGTCAGGGTATACTTCGAGACAGTTGGGGCAGGTGGGTAAAATGTCAAAGGTAGGTTCCACATCTAGCCGGTTCATGACTCGATGAAGAGTTGTGATGGGTGGCGGGTTTATCGTCTGGCCAAAAGCCTGGATGATCAGCGCAACCACACTGATGAGAGCGGAGCATGCTCGAACGGGAAGATGGAACTGGAGATGGAGCCAAGCCACCAGCACGTACAGAAGGTAAATGCCGTGATGCAGGTGAACAGTGGTAGGGGCGGCAGGAAGGGGATTATCAGTGGCCCCCAGTTTGAAGAATGGATCCGGGTCATTCTCCGCATGCTTGTGTTCTGGAACACCATCTGCAATTGGGACGGCTAAGTTGCTGGGCCCCTCGGATGTATAATTAATGGGGTTTGGTGTGCTGGAGACTGGAGACAGATTGGATGTCGCCGAGACTCGCGAGAAAGGAGTGATGGAGGCTGTTGACTCTTGTGCTGCGTCATCGTCATCAAGCAGCGGCTCCTCCCAGTCATCGTCCATCAGCACTTCCGGGACTTCGTTCAGCTCCGAAAGCATGTCAATCTGTAAATTTCGTGCACGTTCTTCCTGAGCACAGAGAGAAGCTGTGCGACGGGCACTGATGGGGGTTCCCGGGGGTTGTCCTACGGAAAATGGTCGAGTAGGAGTGGCAGGCAAAGACCTGGCTGGTTGGGGTGGTGTAGAAGGACCTTCATTCATTGTCTGTGTAATGTTAGATAGGGAGGTTGGTTCATCTTCCAATTGATTTCTTGCTGCCATTGCGAGTTTGTCGCGCTGCAGGTGTCCACGGCGATCCTCTTGTGAGACATACAATATTCCTCCACATTGGGAGCATTCACAAGGCACATCCCTTCGTTTTCCTCGTTTTGGTGGCTTGATTAAGATAAGTCAACCTTGAAAGATGTGGTTTCCAGCTGGACGTACCATTTTGAAGTCAAGGAGTCTTGGCTCTTGCACAAAATATTAGAATGGCGCACGGGCGACATAATATAGTTGAAGGGCAATGATATAATATGATTATTGGGGAGGATAGAGTATGCAATTAGCGGAATATAGAGCAAGAGACACCATGAACGGCACTGAGGGATGAACGCGTGTTCGAGCAGATGTGGGAATTTCTTCAACAGAAATCCGAGCCTCAGAAAAAAAGCCTCAAGAGCTTTACACCTACTTGTACACATTTAAGTCTGCACCGTTCTGTATGAAAACAGTTTTGCTGGCAAGCTGAAGGTCGAAATTATTGAGCAAAAAAAAATTGAAGAAAATGGTGAGGGTTAAGGGAGAAGGATAATCCCCTTCTTCCGAGGCACTGGCAGACTTAAGGTTGTTGCAACTCGCTCTTTCAGACTTTGACAGATTATATTATATACCTTGTACGTCTAGATGCAGAATCAAAATCTGCGTCGAACGAATCCATTTTCAAGGCAAACAGATGTCATTTGAGTGTGCTATGTTGAGAATACTACACAGCTCTATCAACTGCTTTGTTTGGACCAAAAAAAATATCTAAGTACACAACATTTGTCCCATACAGTAGGTTTTCGAGAGGAGAAAAAGTATTTTGATACTATCTATGCCATATGGTACACTATACTATGTGATAGAACGACGTCGGGAAGAGGAGGATCCTACTACATTCAACAACCTCAGTCGGTGGGTGAGTGATTCCGCACAGTCTAGTTCATATGCGCGAGGCTTGTGTGATCAACAATTGAGAGGAATCGAAGCCAACAATGCGAAGGGCTGCGTACGCAAGCGCGAAGATCGCTAAGAAAAGAATTAACATCAAGATCACGTCAACGAAGAGGATATACATACCGACACTGCTGTTGACCAAGCTAGAATCTTCGCTGACAGTTTTTCATTATTTGGTGTGGTCGAAAGCTCCGCAACAACCTCGATCATGTGTGAACGTGGCTGCCAGAATGCGCGGGGGGAGCTGATTAAATTGACCCAGTCAGGGGCCTCGAGGTCAGTATTCTCGCCTATGTAGGTATCGAGGATAACGTGGGGGCTTGTCCAGTAGTAGATAAGAAAGCCTGAAGATGGAGGAAGGCGAATGTTCATGTAGAGGGTGTAGGTAGGAGGGTCTTGAAACGGTTCCTCAACGAGCCCCTATGGAAATGGTGAATTAGATAGAAGAAGAGAATGAAGATTGAACTGACTGCTTCTTTAACAACTCTCACTGTGCATTCAACGTGATCCTGAAACCATAACCCTGTGCTTATTATGCCTTCAGATTCTTCGCTAGATGGATTGGAAGCTACGGGAAGCGACTTGTGGAGCCACTGGTCGAGCGCACAGGGTAGCCCTAACTTGCGGCGGCGCTGTTCACGTTCAGCATCCGTGAGTCTATTCCGAGGGCGCGGCCGGGGGCAGGCAAGATAAGGTGGAAGCAGGGGGGCGAAAGCGCTACGTGGCAGCTGCAAGGTCTGGTGAGCCATGTCCTCGAAAGATGTTAGTGTACTTACCATGTACTAACTTCAGCAGGGCTTCGGGAATATTTGAAGTACTTCAGAGAACTTAAGTAACAAGTACCTTAGCACTTGAGATTTCCTATGAAAAAATATCTAGTCGCAACCTAGGAAGCAGCGGAAACATGGACTTTACGAGGTATCTCCAACAAAACGACGTGTGCTTGGGAATGGGGAAGAGCATGATACCCATTCATCTCGAAATGTCGGGAAAGCACAGGAAACATGATGCTGAGTGAGGTTTTCTGTCGCAATTGATATGGAAGAGGGAGGGAAAGGAAAAGCGGGTTGATATGGACTGGTGGCTACCACTTTTATGATTAATCTATGACAACTGTCCAAGAGCCATTGTGTATAATGCCACAGGTTTTATGAAAGGCATCTCATTAGGATTGCCCATCTATTTCATTCAATTTATCACTGGAATCTTTCATAAGTTATAGACAAGGATAATGAGATATCATGGGGATATTTCATTAGGCTCTTTGGCCCTTTCATTATCATTTCTGAGACTTTTCATTAGGATATTTCATTAGGCTCCTGCGCTTTTTCATTACCATTTCATAGAATTTTTATTAGGATATTTCATTAGGCTCCTGCGCTTTTTCATTACCATTTCAAAGGAATTTTCATTAGGATATTTCATTAGGCTCCTGCGCTTTTTCATTATCATTTCTTAGAAATCTCATTAGGATATTTCATTAGGCTCCTGCGCTTTTTCATTATCATTTCATAGAATTTTTATTAGGATATTTCATTAGGCTCCTTCGCTTTTTCATTACCATTTCTTAGAATTCTCATTAGGATATTTCATTAGGCTCCTGCGCTTTTTCATTACCATTTCTTAGAATTCTCATTAGGATATTTCATTAGGCTCCTGCGCTTTTTCATTATCATTTCTTAGAATTTTCATTAGGATATTTCATTAGGCTGCTTCGCTTTTTCATTACCATTTCATAGATTTTTCATTAGGATATTTAGATTTTTCATTAGGATATTTCATTAGGCTACTGCGCTTTTTCATTACCATTTCTTAGAATTTTCATTAGGATATTTCATTAGGCTCCTTCGCTTTTTCATTACCATTTCATAGAATTTTTATTAGGATATTTCATTAGGCTCCTGTGCTTTTTCATTATCATTTCTTAGAATTTTCATTAGGATATTTCATTAGGCTCCTGTGCTTTTTCATTACCATTTCTTAGAATTCTCATTAGGATATTTCATTAGGCTCCTGCGCTTTTTCATTATCATTTCTTAGAATTTTCATTAGGATATTTCATTAGGCTCCTGTGCTTTTTCATTACCATTTCATAGAATTTTCATTAGGATATTTCATTAGGCTCCTTGGCACTTTCATTAGATTTTCTTGGAATTTTCATTGGGATATTTCATTCAGCTCCTTGACCCTTTCATTACCATTTCATTGAATTTTCATTAGAATGCTTCTTGGCGCTTTCATTAGGATATTTCATTACACTCCTTGACCATTTCATTAGATTTTTCATTGGGAGATTTCATTGGGGCATCTGGCCCTTTCATTACCATTTCTTTTAGGATATTTCATTGAGCACCTTGACGATTTCATCACTTCTCATTAGGCTCCCTGGCACTTTCATTACTATTTCTTAGATTTTTCATTAGGATATTTCATTAGGCCCTTTGGCACTTTCATTACCGAAAACTATATAATAATGATGATATGTATCACATGGGTTGTTGGGAGGGTGGTCACATGACCAATTACCAAAAATAGTCAAAAAGCGAAAGTTGTACCCCTGCACTGTAGCTTCCCGAATCTGGTTGAATTATGTTCTGAAGTGCTCCTGTTGTGGAGGTATGAGCTAAAGGAATTCCAAAAGCGTCGTTTTTTTTGTTGGTTTTTTGCATTTTTCTTCATGAAAACAAAACCAAATAACATGATTCCAACACATTTAGAAAGCTAGATGAAAGGGCAACAAATATCATATCGTGGGAAAATTGACCAAAAAAGGAAGGTGCATTCCCTAAAAGAGCAATCAGCACTGACAGACTACAAGAGTCAGATATAGACTACCAAGTTTACTGATAGACTACAAAAAAGTTGGACATAGGCTACAAAGTTTACTGATAGACTACAAAAGCTTGGACTTAGACTACAAAATTAGGGTTACATTAAAAGATTTTGTAGTGTCCGCTTTTTCATTAGAAAAGTTTATAGTGTCCGCTTTTTTAGACTACAAAAGTTTGTAGTGTGTGCCTTTTCATTAGAAAAGTTTGTAGTGTCCGCTTTTCAGACTACAAAAGTTTGTAGTGTCCGCTTTTTCATTAGAAAAGTTTGTAGTTGACATATAGTTTATAGTATCCTTGACTCTGTATAGGTTATGGGGATGAGGTTAAAGGATTGACATGATTTTACATATTGCCATTGCTGCAGCATTTACTTTTGACATCATGTACAAATTGTCTTTCACATCAAGAAAGGCTATTCTATGCCTTCATATTGATAGCTACTGTCCTATCTCAAATCATGGTTCTAGGTCCATGTGGATATGGTTTGAAGGATTAAATTGCTTTACATATTACTACTGCCAAATGATTAGTTTTT